AGATAGAAGGAAGAGGAAGAGAGGGCAGAGCAGAGGGCGAGAGGAGGGGGCGAGGAGGACAGGGCCAAGGGCAAGCTAAACAGATTTGCATGCGGGCCCCTACCGTCGGAATACTTCTGGCTAACCAGCCGCGCACGGTGAACTGGAGGCACCTGTGCCCACATACAGGCCCCAGCCACCACGGCTGACATCGCACGCAGGGCTGCCCGTCAGGCAGCGAACAAAACACGCCTCCGCCCGACCCCATGGATAGCAAACTTGCCGCTTGAGACACTGCGTTTTTGAATTTCTGGGTCGCCCCCAGTCCTCTGGACGTACACGTGGCCTCCTGGAGTTTTACTCGGGCGCCAGTGATGTAGACTCAGACAGTCCTGATGTTTGCCCATCGCCAGGGCGGCCCTGCTGGTGCCCCCTTCCACTCGATAACGACGCGTTGCTCCGCGTCTTCTTCAGCAGCACGGCTTGACCCCGCGCGCTGGCGAGCCGAGGGCCCGATGGGCCCCGTCGATGGGGCCTCCGAAACTCCCGGGGCGCTCGAACAACTTCGGGGGCCCCGGGCTGGAGCCTTTGGAAGGCTCGGGAGAGCCGCTTAACGAGGACAGCGTCACCGACGCCCACAATCTCATGCCGATTAAGCCTCTACCCTGACTTCGCGAGACGAACATTGATGACAGCACATTCTCCTGTCTTGGCGATCGCGACGTCACGCTTCCGAACCTACAAGACCTCGCCCGCGCGCATCGCGCAATGAGACGGCACCGCCGCGGCGGGAGCAGAACGCGGGCGGCCCACGTCGCGCATCACACCTGCGATCGCCCACGTCACCACCCGAGTCAACGGCGAAACCCGCCCCGGCAGGTCAAGCTTGCCCCGCGCGGCTTTCAGGCGCCACGCCGACGGAAGATGACGCCTGGCGCCCAGGATGAAGTGCTGCACCGCTGCGAGGGAGTAGGCAGCCCAACCTTCGGCTCGCCATCGCGACAGAGGTACTCAACGCACGCTGCGCACAGCTGGTCCAGCTGGTCTAACTTCACGACGCTTGGCCGAGATACTTGGCCATGCTCCCAATCGAAGACTTCTGCTGCGAACTCAGCGCATTGCGCCATCACGCGCTCGATCAAAATGGCACCGCTCTGCCTGCACATTGCCGCTGGCGCCGCCTTCCTGGCCCCTTTCGCGCCCTCGGCGCCACTTGACCTCAGCCACTTAGCACCCATGGCGCCCTGCGCGGCACGTCGGCGGGATTGCCCCCGCGCGCCCGCGGACGAAGAAGGGGGCGCAGAAGGTCGCGCGGCAGAAGGCATCGCAGCGGCACGGTGCGGCATTCAGGCGGCGAGACGGCGAGGGGCCCAGCGCACCGACCGCCGGTCACTTGTGAGCCCACAAAACGACACGCCCTCGTGCCGAGGGCTCTAAAGTGGCGCATGCGCCACCTGCAGCTCCAGCTCGTGAATGCGGCGCGAGCGATGGGACCGCATTGCCACTGCGCGCATCCAGCACCAGCGGCGCTGGTCAACACTGACCCGCGGCCAGGCGCTGCCCTGACACGGCAGCCCAGCGCCCAGCCTCACATCGCTGGCACGATGGTCGGCACGGCGGCGCATCTCGAGAATCAGGCCGTGCATGACCTCATCCGAGCTCTGTTCGCTCGGCGGCTGCGCCTCGGCACGAAATCTCAACATTGCGCGCGCGTCGCGATCCAGACGCTGCCGGCCAGGCACGCGCACCTTGCGCCCCGCCGCGCATTTGCAGGAGGTGGCCTGGAACACCGACGGCGTCGGGGGATGCTTAGTGAGCTCGGCGCGGCACGAGCCTGGCCCGATGAGCCGCCTCGCCACCCCCGCGTGGCTCCCCGCCCGAAGCCCCCGACTCCCTGATGGGCCTTCTCGCTCTCCTGCGCCTTCTCCTCGATCTCGGCGAGCTCGGCCCTCTGGAGCTCTAACTGTCCGACGAGAATCTCCCCCGACGGGTCGACCGCTCGCGCTGCGCCGCCAGCGCCTGGACGCCCCCCTTGGAACCGCCGCGCGCGCAAATCTTCGAGCCGCGGGAGATCGCCGAGGGGCGCGGCATCGAGCACCTCGGCGAGGGCCCTCATCCCCTGGCCGAGCTCCCCCAACTGCTCGGGGGGATGGACTGCGTGAATCGCTGTCGTGAGATATGTCACGAATCGGGCCCCCTGCGGGATCGGCCCCGCTGCCACGGCCCCCCCTCGGGCGCCCAGGTAGCGCTCGATATCCTCGATCGCGGGTTGCGGAAGCTGCCCCAGATGCCGGCGTGCGAATGACACAAGGCCCTCTCCCGACCGAGGGAGAGCCAGGCGAAAACCTGACCCAGCCTCGTCAGCGCCACGCTCCCTGCCGGCGGCGGTCGCCAGCCCCAGCCCTGGCCTGGGCCTCCGATCCTCGTCGGGCGGGTTCGCCAGGACCTTCGCACGGCGCTGCACCGCGCGCTCAGCCAAGGCCTCGCCGACGCCAATCGCCGCGGCAGCCCCCGGGTTTCCTTCCGCACCGCTGGGAAGTCAGGCCTGAGCTTCGCACGCAGTTCCGCCAGGCGCCTCCCCAAGTCTGGCCCGCGCGCTGCTGCCACGCCGCCTTCCTTGCGGCCGTCCTCGGCGTCGCCGTCCGCGGCGAAGACCGCCGCCCCGCCCGCGGGGCAACCTCTCGGGGCATCGCCCCTCTCACTCCCAGGCGGAGTCGGGTGACCTTCAGCGGGAAGCGGCACCGTGGAACGGGGAGCGTCGCGGCCGGGGCGCGGGCGGTGCGAGTCCGCGGATCAGCCCCCTGCCCTTGTCTTGCGTCGTGACCACGCAGTCACCCGTTGCGCCATCGCGGAAGCGAAGGAGCCCGTCGCCCCCCGACCGCGCAGCACTGAGGACAGCGTGGCAGCGCCTGCCCCCTTCGCCACGTCCAGGGAATCGCCCTCGAAGCTCTTCCCGTCGACCGTGGACGAGCCGCCCTTGGCGACGACCGTGAAGTGCCTAGGGCCGCCGCGACACTCACCCCTGGACTGAAGTACCTCTCCGTCCCGCACGGCTGCAAGCGGGGTGTACCAGTCACCCTGGTCACTCGTATTTCAAGGCTCTGGGCGACGTACGTTGGGCCGCCCCCGAGCCCTGGCCTGCGCAGCCGCCTTGCCGAATGGCTTGGGACGAGGGGGAAGCTCCTCGTCATCGACGAGTGCTGGGAGGCCTTCGCTCGCCTCACCTCCTGCAGGCTTGAGCCCCCCCACGACTCCGACACTTCTTCATGTGTGGCGGGCCGCCGCTCTCCCCGCCAGAGGCCGCGGGACGATTGAGCGCGGGGCCCTTTGGGCTGTCCCTCGGCGCCAGGGGAGGGGCCGGACGCAGGTCGGCCCATTCTCATGGCCATCCCCGCGCCACCTGCTGCTCCGCGGGCGGTTCGCGCTCGCCCCGCGGGCGGTCGGGCAACCGCCACGCCCCCGAACCCGAAGGCGACCGACACCCCCGGAGGGCAGACAACCGGAAGTCGGGGTCCAGCCTGACGGCGCGCCCCCCCTCTGCGCAGCACTCCGCCACGTCCAGGGCGGCAAGGCCTGCCGCGCGCAAGAGCGCGGGGGGGCGCGCCGCCTCAGCCGCTCTGGGCCCTGAACCCAAACAGCTACAGAAGGTGCCGTCGCGCTCCCCCTCACATTCCCCACCATACTCCCGTGCACTAGATGGTAAACCAAAAAGCACATTCTTCATCATCATCATCATCATCATCATCATCATCATCATCATCATCATCATCAGCATCATCATCAACCATCATCATCATCATCATCATCATCATCATCATCATCATCATCATCATCATCATCATCATCATCATCAGCAGCAGCATCATCATCAATCATCAGCATCATCAGCATCATCATCATCAGCATCATCATCAGCAGCAGCATCATCAGCACCATCATAATCAGAAGCAGCAGCACCATCAAGATATTCATCATCATCAGTAACAGCAGCAGTAGCATCACTACCATCAGCATCATCATTAGCATTAGCAGCATCAGCATCATCAGCACCATCACCATCATCAACATTATCCCAGTGCGACCCTACCTAGGAGCTGGAGCATCTAGGAAAGCAACATCTACATCTACGCTATGCTACGCTATGCTATGCTACGCTATGCTATGCTATGCTATGCTGCGCTATGCTATGCTATGCTATGCTAGGCTATGCTATACTATGCTATGATGCGCTGTGTTATGTTATGATATGTTATGGTATGCTGCGCTATGCTATGATATGCTATGATATGCTGCGCTATGATATGCTATGATATGCTATGTTATGCTGCGCTATGCTATGCTAGACTATGACATTATATGCTATGCTGCGCTGTGCTATGCTAGGCTAAGCTATGCTATGCTATGCTGCGCTATGTTTTGATATGCTATGGTATGCTATGATATGATATGCTATGCTATGGTATGATATGCTGCGCTATGATATGCTGCGCTATGCTATGCCAGTATATGCTATGCTATGCTATGATATGCTATGATATGCTATGCTATGGTATGTTAATGCTGGGCTGCGCTAAGCTAAGTTAAGCTGAGCTAAGTTAAGTTAAGAAGGAATAAGCTAAGCTAAGATGAGATAAGCAACGCTAAGCTAAGGGAGCGTCACTGGGGGAACCGCGGGGCGGATCCTGGGGGAACCGCCCGGGGCGTGGAACACTGCCCGGCCCTTTAAGCCAACACGGTAAGAACCTTTCTAGGCAGAGCCTAGCTGGGGAATCAGAAGCAGCATCATCGTCATCATCATCAGCAGCAGCAGCAGCAGCATCAGCATCATCATCACGGCTCTCGCAACCCTGGAGACACGAGGTGTCACACATGACGGCCTCTGGTGCCTCCTCGAGCAGTCGCCACCCAGAATGCTGGGCTGTCACGGTGGCGGGACTTGCCGTAGGCAGCTCGATCTTCACGCGTGCTCGAGCGGCAGAATGCGTCCTCCTTCTCCTCCTCCAAAAGTTAATCCTCAATCCCCCTCGCATCCGCCCTCCCCCGACCAGCCGCCACCCGAACGGCCAGAGGTCGGTCACGACCCCAGGGCCACGGTGACGCCCACGTTCTTCACGACGCAGGCGGCGTACCCGCACGATGCCTGCGGCAGGTTGGGCATCTCGTGCCTCATCTGCTGCAGGGCCGCCCCGAAGTCGAAGCTCGCTGATGAAGAAGATCCGTTGTCGGCGTCCCACACTGTGAACTCCGCGGTGCGGCCCTCCATGTCCACAGTCAGCTCTACCCAGTCCCCCACCTCGAGCTGCTTGACGCCCACGTCGTACCTCACGACGTTCGACAGGGCGCGCATGCAGATGCGCCCAGTCCTGTTGACGAAGATGGACACGAGCTTCTGGATGTTCTTCGGGCATGGGAGCCTCTCGGAGAATACAAAGCCCACGCCATCAGCGCTACTCAGCTCGCCGCTGGCAAACGTGATGGCATAGCGCAACACTCCGCTCGAGTGCACCTGGTCCTCTGTGATGACCGAGAGGCGGCCGTTGTAGGACTGCTTCGTGAACGTCCGGCTGTCCTCGTTGACGGTGCCGCTGTCCTGGGCGTCGCGGTGCAGCTTGTGCAGCCGCCCGAACGCCGGCCCCTGGCTGAAGGGCTGCGCCCGGGCGGTCACGACGCCGCCTCCGCGCGGACGGCTGGCGCGCTGCGCCGCACGGCCAGGTCGCGAAGTCGACCAGGTCGTGGTCGATCGGGTGTCGGCGGAGGGGCACGATGACAACGACGTCACACAACGCTTGCCTCTCCGGTGCGGCTCCTGCGCCGGCGCCTCCTCCCCGTACTCCGAGCCCGCCGGCTGGCTCCCGCCGCAGCCCATGATGGCCACGGGGACCCCCGGGAAGGGCACGGGCACGGCCAGCTGCCCCGGCCACTGCCCCGGCAGCGCCGCCACTGGGAGCGGCGCCGCCCCCTCGGCGGGCCCGAAGGCGGCGGGCAGCGTCGCCGCCAGCGATGCTGGCAAGGCCGCCACCTTCTGCGGCAACTCACGGGAGCCTCCCAAACCATCTCGCTGGCTCTTGCGAACCGACGCTGATCGATGCTGATCGGCGCCAAATCGGCGATATCTCATCGACTGCCAGACGCGAGTCGGCGCTAGTGCACTCTCACGAGGGGATGACGAAGGTGCACCAGGCTACCATGATTTGCTACCGAGCGCCACCGGCACTGCCGCGCTGACCTCTGGCAACGTCGCGCCCACCACCGGCAGTGCTGCCGCTGTCAGTGCCCGCGTCTCCGTCGCCTGCAGCGCCTCTGACGGCACCACTCCTGGCGCCACCACGCCACTCCACATGCCGCTCCCCGCGGGCACGGCGACTGGGATCATGCCACAGAACGCAGGCGACGCGGGCAGGGGCACCTGGCAGGCCAGAGACCCCGAGTGGATGACGTTCGGGCTGGCGCTCCTGCCCCCGCTCGACGCCACCGTGCTCTCGGACGAGAACGCGATCGCGCCGCCACACAAGCTGCGGTTCCCGCGGAGGCTCCTCGGGGAGGTCTTCAGCCCTTCTTTCGCGCTGGCGGTGCAGCGCTCGACCGCCTCGTCGTCCGGTCCATAGGCGGGCGCGCCCGGGGCCTCCACGGGCTCACCATGCCTGGGAGGGCGCCAGCGATATACACACACACACACACACACACCGATCCTGGCCAGGCCCAGCCCGGGCCCAGGATCCCCCGCCCTCAGCTCTTGGCCAGGAAGGCATCTGCACAGATCCTGGGCCCGGCAAGGGCCCGTCCAGGCTCGGTGTGAGCGCATGCGGTCGGGAACTTTTGCTCAGCATGTCGCGGCGGCGGCCCCAGCGACACGCATGCCCTGCGAGCGGAGAGCGTGTCGCTCCGCTCCGAGGGTCGGAGGCTTGGGAAAGGCATAAAGGTTCGGGACGCTGACGCTTGGGAACGAGAACGTGGATAGCGAGTCGCGCCGAAGCTCGGTGGGCCAGAGCTGGCGGAGCGGCACGCTAAGCCAAAGGACCTGACCGTAGTTCGACGGCGCGCCGGGGGGGAAGCGAGAAGGAGCAGGCCTTCTCAGAAGGCGGCAGGGCTTCTCAGAAGCCCTGGCGCCTTCTGAGAAGTTTCCTGTGCTGTCGGAGATGGCCTGGACCCACTCTGAGGACATCAGAGGCCCTCTGAGCCTTCTGAGAAGGCCCACCCCCTCTCACTTCCCCCGTGGGCTCGCCGCCGAGTAGCCGGCGCCCTCCCGAGTGCCCAGTCCACATCTGGCGCGGCGACGTCGGCGGCGTCGGCGTCAGCCAGGCCAGCGGGTGGTCGTCCTGAGGCGCCGAGCGGACGACCAGGGCCAGGCCGAGGCCGCGCTCCGCTGCCGTGCCCAGGCGGAGCTCAGACGGCCTGCAGCTGCCGTGCTCCAACGGCCTGCAGCTGCCGTAGGGCTCCGAGCACGTGCGGGGGAGAGCCTCGTCGGAGTCGGTGGGGACAGCGTTGATGAATGTGTTCTGCACCACAAGCTTGGAGTCCAAGCTCGTGCGCTCGCGCGAGGACTGGCGACGCGGCGGCATCGCCCGGAAGCCTGGCGCACCCCGAGGCGACGGCAGGAGAAGCACTGGCGTGAGTGGCTTGAGACAAACTGGAGGAAGAGGAGGAGGAGGAGGAGGAGGAAGAGGAGGAGGAAGCCCATCTGGTCTCTGCTGGGAGGGGGCCCGATCTGGGTCGCGTCGGGGTCGGTCGATCGATCCCTCACGCGATCGCCCGCGATCGGGCCGCCTGGGAGGCCAGGCCCACGCGAGCCGCTCGGCGCCCATGGGGGCTGAGGCACTCCGTGCCCAGACAGCCTCCCCCCCGGGGCCCGATTGGCGGCCGCGCCGATGTATGGCTGCTTGGTGACGGATGCGATGTGTGCCCTGAGGGGCCCTCAGCGGGACCCCACACACGATACATCATGCAGTCCAAAGCTAAACGCAGGTAAATGAGGAGGCAGCGGCTGGTGGCCTCAGACAGGCCGTCTTCGACCTTCTCATCCCTGCATGGAGCGGCTGGGAACGCTGGACCCCAGACGCCGGATATAGCCTTGAAGAAGCATGGACCGATCTCCAGCAAGAAATAGGAGTGAACGCAGAGAGTGGTGGCAGCAGGCACTGGTGCAGCTCAACGGCAAAGCCACCTTGCGGGAAGCGGGAGGCGAAGCAAGAGCCCGACACCGACTGCTACAGTGCTGAGGCCACGACGAAGCCACCGTGCGAGACGTGGGAGGCGAAGCACGAGCCCGACGCCGTCAGCTACAGGGCAGAGGCCAAGACGAAGCCACACTGTGAGAAGCTGGAGGCGAAGCTTGAGCCCGACGCCGTCAGCTACAGTGCAGAGGTTACGGGGAAGCCACCTTGCGAGAAGCGGGAAGCGAAGCACGAGGCCAATGCCGTCAGCGACAGTGCAAAGGCCACGGCAAAGACACCGTGCGAGAAGCTGGAGGCGAAGCTAGAGCCCTACGACGTCAGCTACAGTGCAGAGGCCACGGAAAAGCCAACCTGCTTGATGCGGGAGACGAAGCAAGAGCCCGACATCGACAGCTACAGTACAGAAGCTACGACGAATCCACCTTGCGAGAAACGGTAGGCAAAGCACGAGCCCGATGCCGTCAGCTACGGTGCAGAGGTCACGACGAAGCCACCGTGCGAGAAGCGGGGGGCGAAGCACGAGCCCGACGCCGTCAGCTACAATGCAGAGGCCAAGACGAAACCATATTGCGAGTAGCTGGAGGCGAAGTTAGAGCCCGACGCCGACAGCTAGTGCAGAGGTCACGGAGAAGCCACCTTGCGAGAAGCGGGAGGCAAAGCACGAGCCCCACACCGTCAGCTACAGGGCAAAGGCCACGACGAAACCACCGTGCGAAAGACGGGAGGCGAAGCTGGAGCCCGACGCCGTCAGCTGCGACGACGGGCCTTGGTCGCGAGAAGCGCTGCAGGAATGTGCACGAGACATGCCTGACGAACCTGAGCGTGCGC